GCTAGAAATAAAGATAGATCTACACAGTCCTGGAACTATTGCAAGAATTCTAGAATTAAAGAACCACTTACTTTTCTAAAAAACAGAAATAAATCCATTACAAAATTGTATAGAAAGATACAACACAGATCAATAAATCTAACTTGTTGATGGACTAAAAAATTATTTTATAGAGTTTCATATTTTGTAGAATTCAAGTTAGCCAAACTTCACGTTGTCCCTGTACAAATGCAATAATGATTCTGTTGACCAAATTTTATTAACCATTTTATTGGCTGAATAAAAGAAATTGTTGGCTGCTATAAAAGGACAATGAGCATCAAAGTATTATGTTCCAAACATTTCTCAGCCTTCTGGGAAACCGTAATATTTTCATTGTCAAATAAACATCTTCATAGTCCATATCTAGAACATTGAATATAGAGCTGTAGAAGCTAGAGCAGTCCAGATGATCGCAGGACTGTAGTAGCAGCATGAATGGTTGTTTAGCACTCACTTAACACAGCATAAACGGTTCTAGATGCCTTAATGTTCCCCGATGATATCATGTAATAGTAATCCATGTCATTAGAAGAATTGTTGATAGTATTGGATATCCATAACATAGGCTGGGGGGTGATACAAGTGAGAATACTTTTAAAAGTTTAAAGTGCTATATAAATGCCAAATAGAATTGTTTGTGGAAGACATTAACATACAGCAAAATATGTCTCACCTGTAAAATGAAGGACTCAGATTCTGTGATTTCAGAATAACTTTCCAGTCTCAATGTTCCATAATGCTGTGTTTTTGTCCACCGTTCGTCATGCAATATGGCTGGCCATTGCACAGTCACTACCAGGAACCGGAGCCATCTCAGTACCCTGTGTGAAAGAACTGGAAAAAAGTACAAAGCCAAGTTGTTTAGGATGCCAGGAATTTGAATGCAACAATATACTCTAAAGAGAATAAAATCCTTTACTCCTGTAAATCAGCATTAAAAAAAAAGATCTTATATACATTTTTATTTGTCTGTTTTCATGAAATAGTGGAGGCACTACATTTGGGAACATTAATGGCTGCCCACGGCTACTTCTTTCCAATCTCGGATCACGTCCTCACACTCAAAGATGATGGCACCTTTTACCGGTTTCAGGTGAGTTTGATGAAAATATTCCTTAACTGTAAAATAGAACTCTGCATTTTGTTTGTTGATTGTTGTTACAAACAAATTTTGAAAATAGAACTTACTTTTTTGACTTAGCTAGTTAGAAACGAATTAATATTAAATTTAAAACTGAAGAAACAGTAAGCGGAGAAAGATGGAATGTGCTGGGTTAAGATGACTTGTGAAAGTTAAAATGTATAATGATTGAAGATATGTTTTATATAAAATGTTAAGAAAAATTCAGAGAGTGGCTTACTGGAATTCAGGAGGTGGGAGAGTTATTCATGTGTAAGCTGCATTAGCCACTGGGAAGGAAGTTGAGAGGTGTAACTGAATTGATTATACTCTGGATCCTGTCCATGATATAAGACTGCCTTCAGTCAAAGCAAATTCTCATGGGAAAGCTCCAATACAGAATTTAGCTACTTATAAGGCCTTCTGCATGTTGGTATCTGAGGCCTTCCTACAAGAAGACTGCGAAGACTGACGTGCATGATGCTTCGTGTGTGTGCACTCATCTGAGACAGAAGTATACCTTAGATAACCTGTAAACTGACACGAGTTTTTCTAAATCCTTTTCAAATGAAATAGATGCTCATTCTTTCAAAAATGCAGATTCTTTCAAAAATGATTGTGGACTCTAATATTGGTCATTGAGCATGCACTTGACACTTGAGTTCATAATGATTTACCTGAAGTGTGTTCTACATTTCATTAGACATTATGATTTCTTAATAACTGACTGGTGGATTCTAGCCCATAAAATTAGGGCACATATAATGCCAGAGTTGAGACTCTTGCTCTAGGTATTTTTGGAGGATTCTCCCCATTGTCAAACTTGTAGACATTGGAGAATTCTCTCTCATTTGTTCTGAATATCATTAGATATTCTATAAATAAATGACAAAACAATAACCTGGGTACCAAAGAACTTGCTTGGGCAAACAAAGAACAAAGAGGTAATATGTTTTAAAAACATTTAAAGATCTTTGTCTTCCTGGAACACCCTCACTGTCACTTCCTTAGGACCCTTTTATACAAGGCAAATAGTCGTAGGATTTCATGCACTGAATACCTAGGAGATAAAGCAGTCTCCTGAAATCATGATACTGACCTAAATATTCAAGCAACATATGTTAGTCAAATTACATAATTTTAAAAGGCTTTAAAATAGAGGAATATTATCCTTTTTTATAGTTAATGTGGTGGTAGCTTAAAATAGCTTATTGAGAAGTTAAAGTACCTTGTGGTCTTAAAAGGTAACATTTTGATAAATAGAAATTATTAGTTATTAGCAAATAAATTATTTGCATATTAGGAACACTTTTTGATTTTTTTTAAGGGAGTTACTTTTCTACTGGAAGATTGCATTTTCCATATAATCTAACTTTCTTTAAAAATTTTTTCATATAGGGACACTTGAATAGCTCAGTCGGTTGGGCATCCAACTTCAGCTCAGGTCATGATCTCACTGTTTGTGGGTTCGAGCCCCATGTCAGGCTCTGTGCTGACAGCTCAGAGCCTGGCCCCTGCTTCAGATTCTGTGTGTGTGTGTGTGTGTGTGTGTGTGTGTGTGTGTGTGTGTGTGTCTGCCCCTCCCCCAATATCTATTGTTGTCTCTATCTAAAAAATAAAGTAAACATTAAAAAAATTAAAAATGTTTTTTTCATATACAGACTATAAGTAAACTTTAGGCCTAATAAAAATCTCAAAAATTATGATTTTTGTTTTTACAAATATAACAACTTTTATCTATCCTCACAATCATATTACAAGTAAAACTATCTCTGTGCAAAATAACATATCTGTAAGGGAAGCACTGTATACAGTCTATTTATTTCTGGAGAATTACCTAGTTTAAATTTGTTTTCTTAAAGCAAACTAGCTCAGACATGGCCCAAAGTTGGTGATGATGTTGTGAGTTAACATGATTGACAATGTTTGACTCTGCTCTTGTCCTCCCTGTGTTGAAATTAGTAGGCAGACAAGGTTTATATGTCTTAGTCATGGCCATGGATCAAAGATGAGCAGAGCTGGGAATGGGTCACCCTACATTCTGGAGAGAGGAGAGACTGTTTTTAAAGAGCTTTAGAACAAAGCAAGGGAATGGGTGCAAGTGATAGATGTATTACATCACTGCTAGGTATTGGCAGAAGGCTAGCAATTTTTCAATGTGCCTACATAGATGACAGATGATAGATAGTCTTTTAAATTACATTAATTAATGTTAAATATTAAATGTTAAATGTTTTAAAGACCTATTAACATTTGAAATAGGATCTAAATATGACATATTTGTATATCTAATAGTCATAGGATCTTAAAACTGAGATTTAAAAAGCAGACAAAAGAAGCTCCAGAGAAGTCAGGGGTCATTGAATTCCTGCTGTAATGACTGTGAAGGCATTAATTGGTTTTTATTTGAACAGCTCTAGTAAGAGAAAACACATTCTTGTTCAAGGTGTCCACCTCCATTTTTGTGTTGGTTCCAAGCAGCAGAAAGTTCTTTATTACACTGAGCTGCAATTCAACTCCCTGGGAGGATTTCAAAAATCATGAATTAAAATAGGAAACTTGCCATATCATATTTACTACTCTACCAGTGAATGACTGAGATTTTAACTATCATTAGGAATCTGAAGAAGCTTCTGGGCATGAACTTGAGACAAATAGAACTCTTCATTTAATTTCATTGATATGCTGCAGTATGTAAATTTGTCTCCATTTTTCAGCACAATTTAAAGCATGTGATTTCTATATTTATTGTAAACTTGCAATTGTCTAATTATCCTCTATTAGCTAGCTGGAATTGAGATCTGACATGATTCTCTAGGTCAGTTTCATGACTTTCATTACATTAGTATATGTGCTAAAGGTTATTGAGCAATAGCTAGCTCAATTTTATCATAGTTGAAAGAAGCCAACTCTGAAAAGCAAAAAGAAACTCATATATTAAAATGTCCTGAAATCTAGTTGAACTTTAAAAGTAAATTTTTAAATTTCAGTGAATTATAAGCATTTGTTATTCTTTAAATTCTCTTTTACTATAAATTAAAATACTTTTCCTAGAAAAAAATCTTGCAATATTAGTGAAGAATGTTGGTTTGATGGCATTTCCACATAATATCAGAACATAAAATAGCTTCATTCTGTTACTTTTAGTCAGGGAATTGTCACTAAAGTAAATGATGGAAGAATAAAGAAAAATGGTGAGAATGAAGATAAGAACATTCTTTGTGGCTTTGAGAAAAAAAGTACGTGTCTGACCAGTCTGACTAGAATAGGTGTTTTAAAAGTAAGGTACATGTACACACACACACACACACACACACACACACACACACACACACGCCCCTCACAAAATAAAGAAGCAACCCTCAGGAAATAACACTTTTGAGAAGTATCTCAAAAACCAATGGCCCTCGGGGCGCCTGGGTGGCGCAGTCGGTTAAGCGTCCGACTTCAGCCAGGTCACGATCTCGCGGTCTGGGAGTTCGAGCCCCACGTCAGGCTCTGGGCTGATGGCTCAGAGCCTGGAGCCTGTTTCCGATTCTGTGTCTCCCTCTCTCTCTGCCCCTCCCCCATTCATGCTCGGTCTCTCTCTGTCCCAAAAATAAATAAAAAAACGTTGAAAAAAAAAATTTAAAAAAAAAAAAAAAACAACCAATGGCCCTCATGAAAGCAAGATTTTTAACTACTTGTCCCCCTATGTTTCCCCTAAATCCTGACCCAATTTTACCCTCAAAGCTCTATCTCCCAAGGAGTCAAGTGGGATTCAGGTGAGGATGGGGTTATAAAAATTCTTGATGTCTTGCTTTTTCTAGTGTTTCAACTCGCCCCACCTCGAATTCTTGTTGTCATTTTGTTCACATGTGTACACAATTAACATCAGTAGACTTCTTTATTATATTAGCAATTCCCAGAAGGAGTAGAGGCTAAATCAAAATCCCCTGAAAGTCTCAAGCAATTTGAAAAGGCTCTCCTCAGAGATTCAAACAGTTCTCCCCAATGATCCTTTCCCCCTTCTTGAGAATCCATCTTCTAGAGGGAGAATTATCAAATGGTTCATCAGAGATTACCTCAAATATGCTCATTACACATGGATAGCTAATGTAATTGACTAATAAATATAATTAAACCCACAAGTTTGATGTCTGCAGTCATTTGTTCCGTCGAGTCCTGGAGTAATCATCAAAGTTTGAGAGAGTACACAGTAGTCATTCAGTTTCCCCATGGTCTGGAGCCATGCATGTCCAACTAGTGGGACTAGAAAAGCACTATTAGAAAATACAAAATTTTGCTGATAACAGGGTTTTCCTGGTCAGTTTCTTTGTGGTTTTGTCAGTCAGGTTGTAGAATTTCACAGACTGAGATTTGTCAATTGTTAATCACACCAATCAATTAAAATAGATTAAAATTAAATCAATTAAGATTAAGTAAAAATTAGTTTTTAAAAAATCACTTCTGGCTGTGCAGTTTAAAATTTTAAAACAGTAAGTGTTTTTATGAAGAAATGTATTTTTTAGAATTTATTTATTTATTTTGAGAGAGAGAGAGAGAGAGCATCAGCAGGGGAAGGGCAGAGAGAGGAGAGAGAGAGACTCCCAAGCAGGCTCTGCACTATCAGCATGGAGCCTGATGTGGGGCTGGAACCCATAGACCACGAGATCATGACCTGAGCTGAAATCAAGTCGGACACTTAACTGACTGAGCCACCCAGGTGCCCCTATGAAGAAATATTTTTTTAAACTGAGACAGAAAAGTTTAAATCTAGTTGGATAACGTTGAGAGCTACATCATATAATTAACAGAGCCAGATCTTAGGGTAAGTTTTCATAGTTGAGCTTTTGGGTCTACTGATGACAATAATGAGATATATGAATCAAAAAAAATGATTTGTTATATTTAAATATATTTTATCTTGAGTCGTGGTGAATTTAATACTCTGCTTTCAGTCTTTGTGGATGAAAACTTTTTTTTTGAATGATGCAATCACACCTTTTACCATTATGTCAGTTGACGTCAAATTGCAGCAAATGTATGACATTTAAAGAACCTGCTGGTGCTGCACATATTTGGACTGAACAATTGCTCAGCAAGTAATCGTAGAAGGAAAGTCTTACAATGCCTGTTTGGGTACTTTCCCTGTATTACAAAACATACATCATTAGCAAACCATTCTGGATAATTGCCAAAGATGAACACAGCTCATAAACCAAGAACTCTACTAATTTTGTGTCTGCTTAACCTGGGTTCCACTTCTTTTTGTTCCACAGACACCCTATTTTTGGCCATCAAATTGTTGGGAGCCAGAAAACACGGACTATGGTCAGTACAATATCTCCTCATTTTATTATTGACAGCCAATATGTATGGATGAACACGTGCTCGCATTTTATTGCTTTGTGATTGAGAAAAGAAAACCACAATACCACTATGGGACCAATATTGCCAACATCAAATTTGTGAATGGCTTTGTTTGGAAAGGCACAAACCTGGTGGCAACGTTTTCCATGGTATAACGCCCCACACAACTATTAAAAACCGTTTCTTGTGAATAGGTTAAAAAGCTATAAACAAGCTTTAAAAAGTTATTGTTATTTTTCTGTAGGACCTTGGTCCACTAGAAAGAATAACAAAGGGGCTCAGAGACCCAGAGTTCCACTTTACTCTCCCACTTAGCTATGTGATTCGTGGTAAGTCCCTTGACTTTCTGGGGCTCCATTTTTCTCACTATTATTTCAGGCATCCTATGATTCTGTAAGCAGAAGGTATATTAAATATGGTGAGGGCAAGCAAAAGAAAGCTATAACAGAAGTTTAATTGTAATAAATCAAGTTTAGTGAGCTTAGAATGAACTTGGTTCAACAACCATGATTTTAGGTAAGCTCTTCAAGAACATAGACCCCCAACAAGTGCACATCTTTTCACATCTTCCTGAAGAATACAGTTTTCCAAGATAAGACTGCATGGTTTTAAAGTGTCATTTCTACAAATATTTATTAAGGATTTTTTTCTTACACCAAATACTGTCTTAGGTGCTAGGGTAACAGGGTGACTCTGACTTCATCTAAAAAGTTGGGTAACTCTTGGTTAGATGAGAAGAAAGAATTATACAGGAGTTCCTATAGAGTGCTGAGTGAATGTAACAGCAGTGTGTGCAAAATTATGTACAAGTTTAAAATAAACAAGAGATTGAATTTACTCAGGAAATTGCAGAGTGATTTCACAGAACTGAGAGCCATTTGAGTTGAATTTTGAAGGAGGAGGGGAAATTTGTCAGGAGACAATGCAGAGAACACATTTGAAGCAAAGGACCAGCATATGCAAAGGCAGTGAGAAGCTTTACAGCATCTGGCCTTCTTTGGCATTGCTCTTAGAGAGACATCTTTATAAGAAGGCTGTAGAAAAATCCAATGGAGCTATCCTTCACTTCTGTCATTTCAGAAACTTGAATTTAGTACTTCATCCAAGATGCCAATCAAAGATTCAAACTAACATGGGAAACCATCTAAAAACCGGAATACTTGTAAATTAATAGAATAGATGATCATTTCCAGTAGTGAGAGCACTGATTTATTCATTCAGGGCACACATTCTTCAAGACTGAGGCACTTAGAGAAAGAAGTTATTAAAAAAAAAAAAACAGCTGCTTCTTTGTGGGTCGGATCTAGAGAGTTTTGTGGAGATCTTTTCTAACCTGGGATATTGCCTGGTAGTTGTCTCACTACAAAGGATGAAATTCTGGTTGAAACACGTGAACAGCTGAGAAAGAGCTCACGGACAAAGCCCCATGAGCCGGAGGCAGACAGACCCAACTCTGTGACTTTGGGTGAGGCATGTAATATTTCTGAGTCCCAGTCTGCTCACTTTTCAAGCAGAAATAATAATACTGACTTTCTAAAGTTATTGGAATAATCAAAATTAATATGCCTAAGGAAACTGGCATTGCTCCTGTCATATTCAGTAAATCAATATTGTTTTTTGCTCATCATCATTATTGCCTGGCAGATACATCGCCTCTGTTCCTTGCAGAAAAGCAAATCCTTACTCTCAGTGTTCTCTCTAGACACATCTTTTGTGTTCTTCACAAATATGTTAGTGTTCACAATAACGGCTCATGTTTCATTTCACAGTAGATTGATGTTCCAATGGAAAGCCTGAGGAAATGGCATGGCCTACACAGCAAATCATTTACAGAACATCCCTCAGAGTCAGTCATCTCAAAATGATTAATGTAATTCGGTGTCACATTAACTCCTACTGTGTCCATTTTAGAGAGGGTCACCATCTATTTTCTACCCAAAGCTGGAGTACCTGCAATTTGTTAACTAACCGTAGACATAGCTTGTAATTATCATATTTTATTTTCCCTCCTGAATAAACATATAGCTGTTTGTGTCTAGCTTGCTTGGATTATATACAAGGGAAGGAAAAATAGTTATTCAATAAGATCTTATAAAAAAAAAGAGAGGAAGTAAATAATCATGATCTTAGACACTGCATCACCTCCACAGGCGATGATGCCACATCTTCTATGATTTTTCTTTTTAGGCACAAATAAATCATAGCAGCAATACAAGTTATCCCACTTTGAATTTCCTACCAGCATGTGCTTAAAAAAATACTGTTATGAAATGTGAGCTCCTGTTTATAAAGAGTATATTGATGGGTGGCACAGTCAGTTGAGCTTCCGACTTTGGCTCAGGTCATGATCTCACGGTCCGTGAGTTCGAGCCCCGCGTCGGGCTGTGTGCTGACAGCTCAGAGCCTGGAGCCTGCTTCAGGTTCTGTGTCTCCCTCTCTTTCTGACCCTCCCCCATTCATGCTCTGTATCTCTCTGTCTCAAAATAAATAAACATTAAAAAAAATTTATAAAGAGGATATTGATGCTGTGATGTGGTTGGGCCACAAAGCCCAAAGCACAGTGATTACTTAGTCTGTCTTTTCTAAGATAACTTGGGGCAGACAGGAGTTTAGTGCTTAAGCAGGTTTGAGGAATGTTTTCTTTCACTATATATTGGCATCCCAACCTCTGTTTCCACCACCAGTTTGAATTTACCAAGTAGGTTCTGCAAAAAATAAACCTTTACAGGTCAGTTTATGTGGAGAAACACTTTTCTGTATTCACCTCGGTGTTGTAGAAAAGCAGAATATGTTGATTATGTTTAGTGCTTAAGACAAGCCAATGGGCTGCAGGGCTACACATCTACGAACACCACTCTTTGACAATCAACTTAAGTGAGATTTCTGATATTTTCCATCCAAGAGCAAGAATCATTCCACTCCAAGCCAATTAAAATGGGGTCAGGAATGGACTTCCCCAGGTGTATGTGCATCAAGAATGATCTAGCACAAAGTGCTTGCAGTGAGGGCTTGGAGGACAAGGCACGAGGAAGCTCAAGAGTACTGTGCTAGTACTGTGTAACAGAGTTGTGCATTGAAACAGAAGCCATGAAAGAACTTCACTTTTCTAAAAGTAGGCATTGTTTGTTTCCTGCCCTAAAACATTGCAAAGTTTTCCAATGAGTCCATCCCATTAACAAAACTGCAGGAGAGGCGGTGAGCGGTAGCCTGGGTGAAGCGCCATATGTGTCGGTTGGCGTCGACCAGCGGAGAATCCGCGATCTCGCGGTCAAGGATTCGAGCCCAGCGTCGGGAGCTCTGGGCTGATGATATTTCGAGCCTGGAGCCGATTCTGTGTCTCCCTCTCTCTCTGCCCCTCCCCCGTTCATGCTCTGTCTCTCTCTGTCCCAAAAATAAATAAAAAACGTTGAAAAAAAATTTTTTTAATTTCTTAAACTATTTTTTTAGCGCACATTATTTACATTTGTATGCTAATGTTAATGGTACTGCATATTTCATTTCTAATTCGAATTGTTCATTATTGGATTACAAAAAAAGCAAATTTTTATCATTCAAACTTGTCATAATCACTTAGTAGTTCTAAGTGTTTTTTGGTCGCTTTTTAGATTTTCTGCATAGATAAACATGTCATTTGTGAACAAAGACAGTTTTCTTTCTTCCTGTCCAAATTGTATACATTTAATTTATTTTTCTTGTAGTACTGAATTAGCTAGAACTTAACAGAAGATACTGAATAGGAGTGTGCAAAGGGACACCTTTGCTTTGTCCCTCACCTTAACAGGAAAGCATCTAGTTTCTAACCATTTATTATGCTGTTAGCCATAGGGTTTTTGTAGATGTTCTCTACTAAGTTGAGGAAGTTTCCCTCTATTCCTAGTTTGTTGTGAGTTGTTTTGTTTTGTTTTAATGAACAGGTGCTAGGTTTTGTCAAATTCTTTCTCTGCAATGGGGCGCCTGGGTGGCTCAGTCGGCTGAGTGCCTGACTTCACCTCAGGTCATGATCTCGCAGTTCGTGAGTTCCAGCCCCGCATCGGGCTCTATGCTGACAGCTTGGAGCCTGGAGTCTACTTCAGATTCTGTGTCTCCCTGTTTCTCTGACCCTCTCCCGCTCACACTCTGTCTCTCTCAAAAATAAATAAACATTAAAAAAAATTAAAAAAAAATTCTTTCTCTGCATTTATTGATATGATCATATGGTTTTTATTTTTTAGTCTCTTGATGTGATGGGTTTCATTAATTGGCTTTCAAATGGTCAGCCAGGCTTGCATACCAAGAATAAATGTCACTTAGCTATGGTATATGATTCTTTTTACATTGTTGGATGTGGATTGCTAATATTTTATTGGAGACCTTTGTATTTATGTTCATGGGAATATTGATATATACTTTACCATTTTTGTAATGTATTTTTATGATTTTACTCTTAGGATAATACTGTACTCATAGACTGTTATAAATGACTCCTTTTTATTTTGCCTCTTTTCTGGAAGAGACTGTGGAGAGTTGGTATCATTTCTTCTTTAAATGTTTGGTAGAATTCACCATTGAAAACATCTTGGTGCTTTCTGTTTTGGTAGATTCTCAGTTATTGATTCAACTTATTTAACAGTTATAGGTCTATTCAGATTATGTTTTTATCCTTGTGTGGCTTTTCTTAGATTGTATCTTTCAAAAAATGGGTGTATTTTATATAGGTTACCATATTTGTAGGCTAGAGTTGTTTTTAATATTCCTCTACTATCTTTTTTTGTGGGGTGCCTGGGGGACTCAGTCAGTTGAGCATCTGACCCTTGGTTTTGGCTCAGGTCATGCGTGGATCCTATGATTCGTGGGCTCAAGGTCCGCATCAGGTGCTGTGCTGACAGCATGGAGCTTGCTTGGGATTCTCTCTTAATTAATTAATTAGTTAATTAATCAAAAATATTCCTTTACTGGGGAGCCTGGATGGCTTAGTCAATTGA